TGTGGGGGCAGTCAACGGTCCCTGTGAGTTGTTTTACCAGTAAAATTTAAATGAATGAATGAATTCATTAATTAACACAAAAATTAAAATAGAAATAAAATTTTAATAATTAATGGTGATAAAGTATTATATTATAAAAAAAAATTAGGATAACTGCTTTTCATAATTAATATTATTTTTTTATCAATAAAAACTAAAAGAATATCAGAACATCATTAATTTAATGTGAAAAAAATATTAATTTGAAATAAATTTTTTTTCTATAATTATTATTTTTCTGAGTAGTAAAAATTTAAGGAACAATAATGAATTAATAAAACACCAAAATTAAAAAGTAATAAATATCTATTATTAGTTAGTGAAAAAATTAAAAGTGTTAATGTAACATCCAAAAATATAGCACACAACTATATAAAGGTGTCAACATTTAATAAGATATGAACAGTTTACTACAATAATTAAAGTCAAACTTATAGTTATTACAAAAAAACCATAAAAATTTTTGACACTTTACAAGAGCTTCCTAATACTATACGAACGTTCATTATATAACCGAACGGATATTACAGAACGAAATAGTGGAACGGCGTTTCACAAAACTATCTACACTATATGACCGAACAGTCTCTCCTATTCCAACAAGAGTCTCCCGTCCCGCTCATGTTCAGCGTACGATCTTCCCCCTTCTGTCACATTCCACAAGGTTTGATCATTGGGAATAGAAAATCGAACGACACCCATGCCTAAAAAACAGCAAAATAAGGGTCCGCTCCCTATATTCAAGTGAGCATGCATAATACATGTAAATATAAAATACAATCATACAAAACGAACGCTTATATCGGCATACAAGAGCCAACGAAAATTCATACATTAACTTGAATATCATGATTCATTGACAATGACACTTGACTTGACCTCCGAATTGTATGAATACGTAGCTTAAGATCGTTCGTGCACTCGGTGGCTGTAGTTAACTGAAAAAACATCAGCTGCCACCCGAGTTAGTCTGTTATAACTCACCCAAGAACCTATGGGCTAGGACCTCCCGTCATTCTCACATAATGACTTACCCATCTCTACTTGAGAACTGGAATCATCAGAATATCAGGATGAACTCGTGAATTTCCACTATCTGTATAATTTACTTTACCACCACATTATCCTTACACTGAGACATTCCTCTCCGGAATTCTCTTCTACATACTTGAAACATAAACTTTTATTTGAATACCAATAATTATTTCCCATAACATAATAGATCATTGTTGTAATAAACCAACCAACACCAGGCCATAAATCAGCATTGAAAGATCAAACAACATTCAATAAGAAGACCGAACGCTCAAAATAACACCACTATTATTACAACCGAATGGGAAAGGGATCAAAAACAATAGACGAATATGACGAACGTTTATTTAATAGTTAAAAACTTTGACATGAGTCGAACACATTTTTAAGATAGAACACTCTAATCAAACCCCAATACTTAATATAAGGACCGAATCATATTTAAAATATCCTCCACACTAGAATGAACGTATTCAACTATCCTCAACGCAAATAACGAACGCTATTTCATTATCTGATAAAACCGAACGCTTAGAGCTTATACTGAACACTTATAACTACTGACCCTTGGTGTAAGACCGAACGGTATTTCACTTATTTGACAAAACCGAACGCCTAGAGCTTATACCAAACACTTATGATTACTCTTACAAACTTCATCAAACCTAATACTGTTAAGGAAACAGAACGTTAAGACATTTTAGCTGAAATATTACATAAAACTGTTATAGATCTAAACAAAGGTATTTTAAGCCTAGTCCAAGTACAAAGTCTACTAATAATAATATATGAGCTATCACAAACCAAAATACCTAATCCAATAAAACTGATTATAAAGTATATAACCATCAACACTTGATATATTAATCACTTCCTATAAACTGAACGGTTATACACTAGCAAGGCTAAAATGCTAGCTCTATTGATAACTTATTAACTGACCATGACCGAAAGGTTGAGACCGAACATCCAACTCTTTGCATAACTTGCATAATCCCTATAGAATTATACAGAACCACCCAAAACCCAGAAACATACATTCATACACTCATATACAAATCACCAATCAATTCATTCCATACATACACAAAACCATCACATTGCATAATTAAATTTATAGCTTCCCTTACTCTTAACAGACCGATGCTCACAATATAAAAAATTTGCACCACGACCAACACTCAAACGCCAAGGATTCACTGTTGAAAGAAACGAACCAACCCAAGGACCGGAAATATGATCAGATTTGAAGAAAAAGAAGAAGACAACTACATGCAACCAGAAACTAAACTTGCATGTACCCTAAAAAAACTAGATTTTCTTAGAAGTAAAAGAACTTACCAGTTCAAACTACTAAACGATCGGTTGAAAGAAGGATCCTTGCCACCAGCAACCTTACATACCCTCTAATGGATGATCAGATGGAAGAAAACGGAGAATTAATGGAGGAAAAGATGATAATTTTAGAGAGAAGTTAGAGAGAAGGAGGAGAAACGAGTTCAAAAGGTTTGGAGGAGAAGATTGCCTGCAGAAAGTGGAACCAGCTTTTAAAATTTTGAGATATTATATATTTCCTCAGCAAACCGATCGTCCACTCTCCTACAGCCACCTGTCTCCCACTTCCTGAGTCTCATTCCCCTCTTGCAGACACACGTTTCCCACTAAGATGGGGAATTTAATGGTTCTGACTATTAACATCAGTTTAGTTAATATGCATTTTAAATTATTGATAATTTTTATTAACAGATTCTTTATCAGTAAATAAAATTTAATTATAGATGAATTGAATCATTGAATTTTTTTAGTAAAATAAATATAATTAGTAATTTTTTATAGATTTATTTTTCAGATTTTTCATTTGTAATAATTTCGTTAGTAAAATTTATTTTTAATTTAAATTTTAAAATTCGTCAATAAATTTTTCTACAATTTATTTTCGTTTATAAAATTTCATGTTAATTTCAATAATTTTATAATGATTATATATTTATAATAGTTATAAAGTTTTCGAGCATTGTGTAAAGGAACGTAGCATTTGTGCATTAAGCAGAAACAGTGTTCATCACTGAAGATGGCACGCAAAGGGTTTATTCTGCTTCTGTTCTTCGCTCTTAACCGCCCACTCTCACCGATGCTTTTGCGCAACACACTCATCTGTTGTGGAAGTTCTTTATCGAATCGAAGCACTTTTCCTACGAAGCTTCGTTTTTGGGACAGCATCCTCGGCTTGACCAGGTAAATGTTTTCTTATTCTTATCGAAAAATCCGTCACATCTCACCTAACCTTGTAATGTTTCTTATGTTTATTCGTCGGATGTAGTATAGTACGAGGTGCGGAGGTGGGATAGAACCAAGCATATGGGATGCATGATAAGTACGAATGTTTTCAAACTTATTAATTAACTCAAAATTTGTATTTATTTATAAAATAATGTGTTTTTCTCATTGAAAAATTGTAATTAAAAGTATAAAAGTGTGTAGTAAATTGTACAGGAATCTATACATCAAAGTGGGGGTGCTATCATATGTTTCCCGCTAAGCCAACATTAAGTTTTATTCGCTCAGCACATCAGTACAACTCACTAAGCGAATAAAGGACAATTACACATATGTTGCAGTTGAATATTCGCTTAGCGCATAAGAGTTGTACGCTTAGCGAATTAGTTATTTTTTCAATTGACTTTTAATGTGGGAAATAGACAGAAAGAACTTCTGATAGAAGTTTCAGACAAAGGAAAGAAACAAAAACATATCAGGAACTTCCGAAGATTACTTCAAGGCATCAATACACCATTGATCTGATGTAATTTTCATGTTCAATATATAGTTGTTCGTTCATATGCTCTTTCTTGAATTTAATAACATTGTATGGAAAATATAATGTACTTTGGAATGTCTTTATTACTGGAAAGTAACTTTTGAACATGAACACATAGATAGAGCACCTAGTGATTTGGGATATATGGCTAGACTCATAAACTTGGTCAGTTTAGAATCAGACTTAATGCAAAATGAGGTTAAATGACTAAAGAATTACATTTTGATATATAAAATAGAGGGAGTAGGACTAGTATGCCTTGATGTGAATGTTTGAATGAAATAATGATATATTGTACAAAGTTTTATCTTCGTATGATTCACAAAACTCATTTTCAACAAAGTTTCTTTTAAATATAATTTCTTGCACACCAACTGTTTGATAAAATACCAAAAATAGTTTCTTGTGTTATTTTGTGCATTTTGATGTTTAAGTGAGTTATAAAAGGAAGAATTTTTATGTATTATACAAGTCCTTTAGAAAAACAATACTTACTCTATATGGAACGATTGGGTATACTTGCCAAAAAAATTAACATACATTCATAAATATCCAGGTTTATCTTTGATATGATATAATTGTATTTACATATATTTATACATACTTAACTAATATTTTATATATATATATATATATATATATATATATATATATATATCAAATATTTGACAAAAAATAACATATATTATTGAAAACGCAATCTATTCAATATTCTTAGGAATAACCAAAATATTTCATGTATAAAATTATTGTTTTAAAAAATATTCATTATTCTTTACATTTAAACTCTTAAGCATTAATAACCACTATTATCTTACTTTTTTATTTATAAATATATAAAATAATATTTTTGATTTTTATTAATTCAAAAAATAAAAATAAAAGACATACTAGTTAGATCTAGAAAACGAATACCACCCTTAATAAATTTGGAAATGAAAAAAAAGAGCATTTAAAAATTGGCTTCTGTGATATTTTTATGGTTAATCTGTCAGATAACATTTGTCTTGATACAATTTATTTGTTTTGATAAACCACAAAGTGGTAGTTCCTCTTCTCCATTGTTCAAGCAGACAAAAGGATACAAATCAAACATGAGATGACAACATTGTTCTCACTTCTTAAGATGTTTATCAAACCAATTTATCATGATTTTATGAGCCTTCCCAGCAGCCTTCACAGCTTTTGGATCATTAGGATCGTACCTCACAGTCCATCCATGTGAGACGTTAGCAAATATCTTCACATAACTATCAATCTGCACAAAACAAAAACTCAGTACACTTGTACTAATAAAGTGAAGAGATATTCGACAAAAATTGTCATGGCCATGAAATTAAAACAATGTTTATTTTGACAAATATTGGATATAACTAAAAAGTAAAACGTGTTAATTAATTGACAATTTATATGATGTCCCCACTCTTATCCTATGAAATTCATGTTAAGGCAGCAAAGTCTAAAGACATATGACATGTTTATTTTTTTAAAAAATAAAAAACCTAAAATGACAGAACATAACTACTACAAAAGGAAAATAAGTTTCATCGTACCTCAGGTTTAGCATTTAAGACTTGTTTAAATTGATTTAGGAGCTTTGGAGGAGAGAGTGAGTCGTGCTCAGCTCCAAGTATAGCAATTGGAATTTCAACACCTGAAAAAGATCAAAGTGACTCTTTCACAACTGACATCTTTCGAGATTTGTATCTTTATTCAACCATAAACAAATGGTAAATGAAAGACAGCATCAAAAAGAGATTTACTGTATACTGTCAAATTCACAAAAAGTTGAAGTTTTTGTCATCTGATTGAGAATTCATACCACGGATGTCATCCACAGTGATATATGATGGATGTAATAGCACAGAAGCTTGAACAAGTTTGGCTTTTCCAAGGTTAGTCACAGTCCTAGCTGAGGAGAAAATAAAGAAAAAACACAAATTACATTCTGTTAGTTTATACTTAAGGTGCTTGCATCTGCAAAATACAAAGCCATTACCACCCCAAAGAAACCACAACTCCCACGCGCAGAAGCACCTTTTCTTTCAGGCTTCAATGATAGGTTTTGCAGTTTCAATACCTTTTCCCGCACACATTCAATAGATAAATATCAGAATCAGGACAAAATGTATTACGTTTACAGAAAAGTCACAATTTTATTTCATCTGACGCAAAACAGGACATTGATATCTGATTTGCAAATCAGACACCACATAAAATGGTGGCGACCCTTTAGCTTACAGACTCCAAACATCTAAATATTCCAATATAAGAACCTAACGTTGACTTATGAAGAACAGAAAGAACATTTCTTTTCTTGCTAAATCAATGATAAATGATAAAGAAGCAATTATCATTAAGTAAGAACTAACCGGGTCATGATCATTTAACCAAGGAGTGAAAGGCCTGCTCGCATTGTCCACGATTGTAGGGTTCTCCATGAAGAAGTCAGGACCGCCCAAATTACCCATGGTTTTGCAACTTGTCGCAATTTCCTATGCAACATAAACAAAACAAGTTCAAATAATTAGACCACTTTAAATTCTTCAAAGTATTTTTGTAAATTTTAATTTACTCAAACCATAATGTCATTCATTACCCAAAAAATTTGTATTAAACTATCTTAAGTCTTCCAATCATTTTATGCCTTTTTGTGGCCTCCATAGAAACAGTATTTGCTTACACTGGAAGACAGTAAATATGACCTAATAGAGATAAACTGAGGGTAAATTAGGCATTGAAAGTTAACATACCTTAATAGTGTGGTTTAAAATTCCTAACAAGACCAAATTGAGATGTAAAAGTAGGTAAGGATATTGTTAAGGTAATATAACTGTCGGCAGAAAACAAAAAAAACACAAATAGATACCCAAACAGGGAATTAACAATGTCTCAGGGAAACTGATAAGATTGCTGATTTTCTTAAAATATCACAATGCATTTTCACCTCAGTATTAAAATTTGTACTACTATGAATTCACCTTTATCTCTAATCCACGTAATAATCATAATGAAGAAAATAAATTACAGATAGACGAAACTGAATTAATTAAACACAAAGATTAAAGCACAGTCGTCTTGTACTCTTAACAAGAAACAGAACTCAGTTATGTTACAAATAGAATAACTGAGTCACTGGTTTCAGTAGTATCTATAACAAGAAACAGAACCCAGTTAAACTGTGTGTTTAGATGGTTTCTGCTTCTGACAGGTTTTCTTTCAATCGTTTGGTCACTTAAAATCAATACATGAACAAAATTCAAACTTTGGAACTTCAATAAAATTATATATACGAACAAAGAGTAATAATGGTGTGATATATTTGGAAGAAAAGAATACCATAAACATCAAAGAAAACAAGAACGATGGACAAGATGGCGAGAGGAGAACCGGACATAGGTGTTAAACACCGGCGATATTGGTATCATAGCCAACACCACTTGAAGCATTGAGAATGGGAGGGTTGGCATTAGGCAGTCACTTCCCACCATGTTTGTTCTCTCTGTTTTCCTTCTGTTGTGAACATTCCTAATTCGCATTTGACCTTTTATGCATGACTGACGCAGGGTTGGAATGGTCATTACAATCATGGGCATGGGACCCCACTTGAAATTGAAAGGACATGCCACTTGCTTAATTATATTCTCTTATCACTGTTTTTGACCACACAAAAATACAAAATTCGAGGCGTGGCTTGTAACATGCGATACCATTTAAGCCGCCATTAAACTATATACTATGTTGATAATATCTGTCACAGTTAAGTGTTGTCTAAAGTATTTTTCTTTCTTCTCTCACAAAAATTTCTTAAATATTTGTGTCCGTGTGACTTTTAAGAAATGATATTATAATGATAGTATTTTAAGAAATATTGAAAAAACATATTTTTTAAACCCTTTAGTTATCTTTATTTATGTGGGGATTTTTCATTTTGATCCCTTATAAGAATCTCCAATTGAGTCCTTATAAGTGTTAATTTGAATCAATTGAGTCTATGACGTTAAATTTAGTTAACGGAGTTAAGTTTTTACACATGTGAAAGGATGACGTGTTAATTTCTTTAAACGTGACATGTTTAGAGTTGAAACGTGGCATTTGACCATCTTCTTCTCCTTTTTACATCTTCTCACCATTCCCAATCCTAATATTCTTCTCCATTTTCAGCACTCTCTATAAATAGGGAAAATAGCTTTGTGAATCGTGGAGATGCTATTTCAGATTCCAGATTTGATAGAGGTTAAGGCAGAAAGCAAAAGAGGCACGACGTTGGGTTTTGCAAAGAAGAGTTGTTTCGTGATTTCATAATTTAGGCGAAGGGAAAAGTTTCGTTATATGCATCCCATGTGTGTTGCAGGTCAGCGAAGATGTTATTACATTGACAAATATGTTATCACATTTTAGATCTCTATGGATCACAGGCGGATCGTGACTATGAAGATAGAAAAGTCCATTCAAGATCTGTCTACACCAATGCTTCACTACTCTGATGTTAACTTTCTTGTGTTGTAGTCTATACCTATTTCACAATTAAAACAAGGCGAAAGTAAGAAAGAAGAAGAAAGGATCCCACTATACAAGATCTAGAATGCACAGAGACAAAAATAATGTAGCTATCGGGATAATAGTGGCAACTAAGGAACTTACTGTCTAAGTGTACCAGAGGTGAACATTTCAGTCACGAAGAGGCAAAAGCAGGTCCTTTTCTCCATTATGTGTTGTTGCCATCATCCCTAAGAGTGAATTATGATAATTGCTGCTCCTACGCCTTGGACGGTTCTGGCTCTGGCTCCAAGAGGCATCCGTTCCATGAAATGAGCCGTCAAGGGGTGAAGGCATGGTTGGCTCACTAGTAAACCTTCCAAGGAACCTAAACCCACTATGCTTCTCGGGAATGGTAACGAAAGACTGAACCTTAGGGTCCCTAGTGGAGTCAAAAATGGTTTTTATTTCTGTATGAGATTACTGATCTGCCAGACCTCTGCCAGTCCAGCCGTGCTTGTCCGGCTTGTCAATGCTTGCCCCGTGATCCAAAAGGTATTTCACAATTTCAACGTTCCCCTCCGACACTTCAACGTGCAAGGTTGTTGTCCCACTGTTGATGCTTGGAAGGGTGATATCTCCTCCATAGTGCCACATTACCGTCCAAATCTACACGTACAATAACCCTGAGTTTCAGTCGCAATTTAGGGTTTCTGATGCGAAGAGATTTGGGGCTTCCTGTGTTTCAAGTCTTACAGGAAGTGTTTCGTGATAAAGGAGATGAAGAGGAGCTTCGTCTCGCGATGGTTTCTTCTTGTGGTGGCTTTGCGTTGGTGGTGGAGGGGACAATGAACTCCAGCTTTACTCTCACGTGAGCATGCCACATTTCAAAAAATTAACACATCAACTTCCTACTTGTACAAAAACTTGACCCGTTAACTAAATTTAACGGCAGAGGCTCAATTGGTTCAAATTAAAATTTTTAAAGACTCAATTAAGGAATTCTAATAAGAAGGAATCAAAATCTGAAAACCGCACATAAATAGGGACAACTAAAGGATTTAAACCTTTTTTATTGAATAATTGAATAATGTTTTAAATAAATTTATTTAGAAATTTGTTTATTTTGTTTAAAAGTTTGTCTTTTTTACTTTAAGTCAATCTTTCCTCTTATAAAAAACTTCCCTTAAATAAAAGAAGTTGGGTGAATAATGATAGTTTTTCTTAAGATATTTATAAAAAAATCTATTTTATTTATATATCATAACAAAAAATAATTAATGTCATATTAAACTTTAAAAATACTATTTTAATAAAAAAATCTTTCAAAAATTCGACAATTAGAAAAGCCAAAAATATATCTTTTTAGATAATTGGTTCGCAGTATACTTCCTCGGTTTTTTGAAAAGAAGGTCCTTTAATAGATATTTTTTATTTTGATGAAATATTTATAAAATCTTATCTTTGTTGATTTTCAGATTACAATAAATTAAAAAATTAAGTAAAGAATAAGAAGTAATAATTAATATTATTTTGACATTGAAAATAATCTTATCAAGAAAAATGTTTGAAAAGTCTAACATAGTAGTATTAATTTGCTTAGTATATTCTATCTTGAGCAGGATTGTTGCCGGCATTTCAGTTCCATACTCTACACAATTCGAATATAATAAACACTAAAGTAACACCCGATGTTGACCAGCGGATTAAAAATATATTGAAAAGACATAATGTTGGAATTTAATATTTGAAACGTGGATTAATATATTTTTTTACATGGTTCTAAATGTTTAAAACAATTAGTGTTAGATTGAATTATTCTATGTAGAAAGATTTTCTGGTTTGACTAAAAAATGAATGTCATCAGATTGTGATCCATTTATTCATAGTAGCAGTAGATAGACATATCTACAAATTGTCCAGATGCAGCTAATAATACCTCCGTTAATAATAATATAAAAAATTATAATTAAATTATCATATTTTATTTTAAAAATATAATAATTTAAAAATTATAATTTTAATATAAAAATATTTATTGTATTAATTTTATTTAATAATTAAGATAATTCTACATATATTTAATTTTTAATAATTATATATATATATAT